AAGGGACCAAGCAAGACTAGCCATAAGAAGATGTGGCTTGACTTGCTTGCAGCAGGGGTTGATAGCAAGAAAACTGACCAGCAGCCAAATGCAATCCTGTTTGCCTTGTAGCAACAATTGCACCCCAAACAGCGTTTCACTAAACATCCAGAAACAGGTAGCAAAGTGCGCTCGGTGGACTTACAGGATTTTTTGATCACTTTCAAGGAGGTAGATGAAATGTTTCAGTTCAATTAGGGAGCAGGCCAACGTGCTCGTCTTTTGAGGGCAGGCGAGGACCAGAGGCCTCACGCTGAATTGGCAACACACTGGTAGAGGACAAATGTGCAGGGTGTTTTGGCGTTGGTAGATACAGGCACAGAATGTAGCCTGATATATGACAATCTAGATAAGTTTCTGGGGGCCACGGTTCATATAGATGGATATGGAGGACATACTATTGAAGTCAAAGCTGTGTCACTGCCATTAAGCATAGGATGATTGACCCCTCATGTGTATACTCTCTATATATTCCCAGTAGCTGAGTACATCTTGGGTATGGATGTACTTTATGGTTTGCATCTGCAAGCAACAGTTGGAGAGTTTCAGCTATGAATATGGACAATAAAGCCTGTGTTATGGGGATATGCTACACATGACCCAAAGTGTTTCTCAAGCCAAGACATGTAGTTAATGTAAAGCAGTATCGCCTACTAGGAGGACATGCAGAGATAGGTGCCACTATATTGGAGTTAGAAAAAGTTGGCATTATTTGTCCAGCTCATAGCCCATTTAATGCTCTGGTATGGCCAGTGAAAAAACCTAGTAGTACCTGGAGAAGTAGTACCTGGAGAATGACTGTAGACTATTGAGAACTAAACAAAGTAGTGCCTCCTTTGCATCCAGCCATGCCTTCAGTTCATGACTTGATGGATCAGCTGACAACACAGCCGGGAACTTATCATTATGTATTGGACCTTGGAAATGCTTTCTTCTCTATTCTAATCTCAGCTGATAGCCAAGATCAGTTTGCCTTCACCTGGGAAGGGAAGCAGTGGACCTTTCGAGTATTGCCCCAAGGTTATCTGCATAGCCCAACCATCTGTCATGGTTTGGTGGCTGGGGACCTAGCCAAGTGGACAAAGCCCAGCATGTTTACAATGTTTCACTACACTGATGATGTGTTGTTAACTTCTGATTCTATTACAGATTTAACTCAGGAAGCTCCAACACTGCTAAACCATTTGGAACAATGTGGGTGGGCCATAAACACAGCCAAAGTACAAGGACCTGGGCTGTCAGTCAAATTCTTAGGAGTGGCCTGGTCAGGTAAGACGAGGGTCACCCTAGAAGCTACTGTAGACAAGATACAGGCATACCGTCAACCCACAACTGTAGCTCACCTACAGACATGTTTGGGACTTCTGGGGTATTGGAGAGCCTTGTAAGGCCCCAGAGCAGGTGAACACTGTGAAGGCATTGAATAGCCTTACAGCTATGTGTGGTCGGCCTGTAGTCATAGACAGTGATAATGAACCCACTTTACTGAACATGAGCTTCAGAAGTGGGCTTCCCAGTTGCCTATTCAGTGGAAGTTACATGTGCCATATCATCCCCAGGCAGCAGGGATGATTGAGCGATACAATGGTCTTATAAAAAAGGGACTAAGGCTATCTGCCCAACCCCCATCCCTGAAGGGGTGGACACAGCAGTTATGGCCGACAATCGGGATTCTAAATGAGAGACCCCCGCAAGGGTGGGCCCTCTCCCATAGAAGCTCTGTTGCATAGGGCTGCAGCACCTATACAGATGAAAATCACTACTAAAGATAAGCTTTTGAAGCCAGGATATGGCAAGAAAGGAAATATTCTCTCACCGGCCCCAACCTGTTTACAACAGGGACAGACAGTACAATGGGAATGGCCTTGGAGAATAGAAGCCCCCCATATATGTTGGGTAGGCCTAATAGGGCCTTGGGGAAAAGGATTCGAAGAAGACTTGCAAATTTCACCTTGGGTGACAAGTACCTGGCCTCTTCAAGTAAAGGTAACGTGGCCTGAAACAGATAAGCACTCTATTCCAAAGGGCACATTTGTATTATCATTGTGGCCAATTCTGAGTTCCCCTATACTGTTACATATAGAACCTACAGATCCAACAGTACTAGCAGATAATGTGTGGTATCATAAACCAGGTAAGACACCTAGTCCTGCAACCATCCTTTCCCAGGATGGCAAACTAGCATGTATCTTACCAGAAGGGCGAGAACTCCCCCTACTGGTACCAATAACCCTTCTGTCTTTTCACCCATAGCGTTCTGGCTAAGGGCACCAGAGTCAACTGGATACAGACATATGTTCGTGTGACCAATGTGTTGGCTTATTGAATATACACTGAACTTCATACCAGTGATGACTACTAAACGGACATGTGCGGCTAATAGTTGAAAGAACAAAACTACAGGAAAATCCCTAAGGCATATTGGACATATGAGATTATATGAATGTAAGGGACATTTATCCTCGCTAAGGGAACATCATGGAAGATTCTGAAAGCACAGATTATATGGCGAGGGACCCTGAAGGAATGGCTTGTTGGGAAAAAATAGGAAAATGGTCAGGGCCCCTCAGATGTTCAGAATCTTGCTGAGCATTGGCTGTAAATATCATCAGGTGTTCCTTATAACTACTTAATGTAACCGTGTATGGGCACCCAGGTGTCAGAGTTATGACGTAAGTATACAAGACTAACAGTTTTGATCCACAGTGCTTCTCAGAACTCTCAGAGAAGCCACTAGGACAGATGCTCCTAGATCTGAATAAAACCCATTTTTTCTATACCTATGGTTCCCAGGACTTTTTTTTTTTTTTCTATTACCTCACTCACAGACCTGAGTGTGGAGGGTTTTGTGACCCAGTCTGTGCAACAGACTCAAGGGGTCTGTAAGCCCTAGCTTTACAATCCTCTTGAGCACCCCCACCCTGGACCCTGAGCAGGTCCTGCCTCCTAGAGAAGCGCCTCCTGAGGTGTCCCTGCTCCAACCCTGCTCTGTCCCTGCGTGCCTCCCATGTCTCCAAGGCTAGTCTCCTTCCTGCTGTAAAGACAACTAGGCACTGAGCTTTCCAGGTGGGCTCAATAAGGTGCNTACCAGTGATGACTACTAAACGGACATGTGCGGCTAATAGTTGAAAGAACAAAACTACAGGAAAATCCCTAAGGCATATTGGACATATGAGATTATATGAATGTAAGGGACATTTATCCTCGCTAAGGGAACATCATGGAAGATTCTGAAAGCACAGATTATATGGCGAGGGACCCTGAAGGAATGGCTTGTTGGGAAAAAATAGGAAAATGGTCAGGGCCCCTCAGATGTTCAGAATCTTGCTGAGCATTGGCTGTAAATATCATCAGGTGTTCCTTATAACTACTTAATGTAACCGTGTATGGGCACCCAGGTGTCAGAGTTATGACGTAAGTATACAAGACTAACAGTTTTGATCCACAGTGCTTCTCAGAACTCTCAGAGAAGCCACTAGGACAGATGCTCCTAGATCTGAATAAAACCCATTTTTTCTATACCTATGGTTCCCAGGACTTTTTTTTTTTTTTCTATTACCTCACTCACAGACCTGAGTGTGGAGGGTTTTGTGACCCAGTCTGTGCAACAGACTCAAGGGGTCTGTAAGCCCTAGCTTTACAATCCTCTTGAGCACCCCCACCCTGGACCCTGAGCAGGTCCTGCCTCCTAGAGAAGCGCCTCCTGAGGTGTCCCTGCTCCAACCCTGCTCTGTCCCTGCGTGCCTCCCATGTCTCCAAGGCTAGTCTCCTTCCTGCTGTAAAGACAACTAGGCACTGAGCTTTCCAGGTGGGCTCAATAAGGTGCCAGAAACACCCAGAGAGTTAGGGATAATCTTTCCCACCCTTTACCTGTTTTGAAGCAATAACTGGAATGCTGGGTTAATTAGCTTGCTCCAAGGCAGAAACATTCTGAGCATAAATTGGCCAAAGACTGGCGGTGGGTGGGTATGAAGGTGATCTAGGGATTCTGGAACCTCCAGCAGGCAGACCATCTCCTGCAAAGTTTAGGAAGAGCCGCCAGCCTTGAATCTCCACCTAATCACGTATTTGGCAACATTTTACCAGGTGCTGGGGAGTGGGGGTTGCGGTGTAAAAGAAATGCAGCCCCCACTGTCGCCCAGCGATGGACAGAGCACAGGCCAGGAACAAGGCACTCAGGCTCTGGGAGAGGCCAAAAAGAGCATCAAGAATTCCCAGAGTGGTGAGACACCCACCCCAGCCCCCAGCTCCACAAGCTCCCAAGGTTCCGTGGACCCTCAGTCCACACAGCAGGAGAGAGAGAGAGAGACACGCACGCGCGCGCCCCCCCCCACCTGTCCTGGCCCCAGGCCGCACCCTTCCCAGACTGCAACCTGTGCTCAGCCTTGGAGCTCAAAGCTCACATTGCCTCCAGCCCACCCGGATGAACCTACACAGCATGAGCCCAGCCTGCACCTTGGGAGCCCCCCAGGACCCGCCATACCCAAGAGGGACCAGAGGAGAGGTGAGGGGAAAGAAAACTCTTGGGACACACAGACGACAGGCAGTATGGGAAGGGAAGGGCCCCTGAGACTCCCTGGAGGCGGGAAAAGGGGCAGCTGAGCTGGGGCCATCCCTTGAATTGCCATTACCCAGGTCCCCAAGTTCGCATCCCCCAACTCAAGCAGGCCTGGCCACTGTGGGTGCTGAGTGTGAGAACCCTGCCCAGGCCTTTGAAAGCCACTGGGGTCTTTGCACAGTTGTCTTCGCAGGCAGGAGGGGCTGATAGTAAGCTAGGCCAGGGGATTGGGGGAGGGGGAAGCCCACAGACTGTGACACTGTTGTCAGGCTACCCAGGGCGTTTCACCCTTAGCAACTCGGGGCCGAGGCCCAGGCTCAGCAGAGACCCTGCCCTCCATACAGCCCAGGTGGGAGATGCCACTCCAATAGGCGAGGGGCGGCTGCGCGGCTGCAGTACTTACAGGTGGACTTCCCGTGGGTTTTCTCACAATTCGGGCAATGGTATATGTCAATGTCTGGTGCCTCCTCCTCTTCCACCCCCACGCAGCTGAAATGGGACAAAACAGACCATTACGCATGTATTCAATTGCCCCTCAGTGATGTCTAAGCTCTAAGGAGGGACCCTGTGCACCATCTGAGGATCTAGGTCAGGTGGAAAAGATCTGTGCAGGGCAGCCATCCACAGGCAGAGAGGAGAGGTGGGAGAGGGCCACAGACTGCCCTCCTGGATGGGCATCTGCACAGGGGACCCAGATATAGCATCTGGACACACCCTGCCACAAGCATCTACTGAATGGCCCATCCAGCAAGCCCGCCTAGGTGACAGCCACACTGCCCATCACCCCAGGGCACAGGAAGGGTGGGAGGAGGTCTCAGAGCCAGGCCACCCCCATTGCTTCATCAAGGGCAGCTCAGAGCACCCCGACACTAGGGCCACCCATCCAGCTCCTCTCCAGAGGAATCAGGGTGAGGCCAGGTCGCAGGCCAAGAAGCCTGACCTGGGACATGCTCAGGACTCCAGGGATCATGATCTTCCTTCTTCTCTCCCTGGAGTTCCTCCAGGCCCCCTGAAAACATGTTCAGAGATTTGGCACAGGAGAGACCCACCCACTATGCAGACGTTGGCCTGGTCTCAGGCCTATAAAGCCCTTTAAGGAACGATGACAGCACCAAAGAATATGACTTAGAACATCAACAAACAGTCTACAGAACCAAACCCAGCAAAATGAAAGTGTTTTGTTCCATTCTGAGGCCTGACTTCTTTTGGTTAAAAGTGACAGAAGGGTTGCCATCTGTAACGTGAAAAGGCATGTGCAGTAAATAAGAATACAGTGAGTAACAGGCAGGCCACAGGAGCAGGAGACACCCACAACAGAATAAGTGTAAATAAAACTGACCAGTAAATTTTAAAATGGACATTTTCCCCCAGGGCAGCCCCAGAATTTCAATGTAGGAGGGGCTCAGGACAGCGAGCTACCTGGAAACTACAGGTATACGTGAAGCAGACTGTTTTCACTTAGGGAAAACATTACACATCCATTTAGAAATCAAGTTTTTTTTTTTCTGTTTTTAAAAGATGACCGGTAAGGGATCTTAACCCTCGACTTGGTGTTGTCAGCACCACACTCTCCCAAGTGAGCCACGGGCCAGTCCAAGAAATCAAGTTTTCAAACCTACTTTTAGTCANCAGAGGAATCAGGGTGAGGCCAGGTCGCAGGCCAAGAAGCCTGACCTGGGACATGCTCAGGACTCCAGGGATCATGATCTTCCTTCTTCTCTCCCTGGAGTTCCTCCAGGCCCCCTGAAAACATGTTCAGAGATTTGGCACAGGAGAGACCCACCCACTATGCAGACGTTGGCCTGGTCTCAGGCCTATAAAGCCCTTTAAGGAACGATGACAGCACCAAAGAATATGACTTAGAACATCAACAAACAGTCTACAGAACCAAACCCAGCAAAATGAAAGTGTTTTGTTCCATTCTGAGGCCTGACTTCTTTTGGTTAAAAGTGACAGAAGGGTTGCCATCTGTAACGTGAAAAGGCATGTGCAGTAAATAAGAATACAGTGAGTAACAGGCAGGCCACAGGAGCAGGAGACACCCACAACAGAATAAGTGTAAATAAAACTGACCAGTAAATTTTAAAATGGACATTTTCCCCCAGGGCAGCCCCAGAATTTCAATGTAGGAGGGGCTCAGGACAGCGAGCTACCTGGAAACTACAGGTATACGTGAAGCAGACTGTTTTCACTTAGGGAAAACATTACACATCCATTTAGAAATCAAGTTTTTTTTTTTCTGTTTTTAAAAGATGACCGGTAAGGGATCTTAACCTGTTTTTAAAAGATGATCGGTAAGGGATCTTAACCCTCGACTTGGTGTTGTCAGCACCACGCTCTCCCAAGTGAGCCACGGGCCATCTGTTTTTAAAAGATGACCGGTAAGGGATCTTAACCCTCGACTTGGTGTTGTCAGCACCACACTCTCCCAAGTGAGCCACGGGCCAGTCCAAGAAATCAAGTTTTCAAACCTACTTTTAGTCACATTTACCAGGAGAGGTTCTCTTATTTCGTTTTACTTCTTATTTGGTGGCTTGAGGGAGCTGACATTGATTTTATACCTATTAAAAATTGGTAGGAAATTTTTAAACACTAAAATGTGAAGGTGGGGAGACTTCAGGAGCCCCAGTCACCCATGCCTACCATATGGCACACTCACCCCCAACGAATGGACCCCAAGAAAACCGTTCAGAAGACTAAAGCATTTTATTTACAAAGACGTGTCCAAATGCCCACTTAGGGGGACAAGTTGCGTTATCTACAGTCCATCTCCCTAACAGAATCGTCTACAGCCACCAAGAGTGATGAATAACAAGACTTCAGGGACAGGTAAGTTAGCAGCTAGTTATGACCAGTACTGACACAGAGTCACAGAGACTGGAGATTAGACCAGAACGCTGAAGCTGATTCAGCTACATTAGGGTTGGAGAGGGTGACAGTTTCCCTTCTAAGCTGCCTAAACTTGAACTATTTTGAAAGCAGCATACTGCAATGCAGATGTTGGCCTGGCCTCAACCTGGCAGCAGAGCTCACCACTCCTCTCCGGCACCTGCTTGAGGACATGGGCCACTCACAGGCACCTCTGCGATTCCAGGAGGGGCTGCCAGGACCTCCTAGGACCAGAGCACCAGGGCACATGTGCTCCTGGGGAGGACAGGTCAGGGCAGCTGGAGCTCACCTCCCCTGACACCTGTGTTGCTTCTGTGTCTGAACCTGGGGGAGGGCACTTTTCCTGACTCCTAGCACCCTCAAGCTTCACTTGATGATGGAGGAATGCAGCTCTGAGCTTGTTTTCTCATCTAAATGAGGAGTTCTCAAATGTTACTGTGCATGAGACAGGGTGGGGGGCAAGGGGGAAGTAACATAGGTATAAAAGAACCCAGCAACATCAGAGAATCAACAAAATCAAAGTTAGTTCTTTGACAAGCCTTTAGCTAGACTGACCAAGAAAAAAAAAGAAGACTCAAATTACTAAAATCAGAAATGAAAGTAAAGACATCACTACTGATCCTAAGGAAATAAAAAGGATCCTAAGAGAAGACTATGAACAATTATAGACCAATAAATTAGATAACCTAAATGAAATAGACAAACTCCTAGAAACACAAAAAATACCAAAACTGACTTTTAAAAAAAACCAAAAAACAACAAAAAAAGGAAATTTGAACAGACTTATAACAAGAGATTAAATCAATAATCAGCAACCTCCCAAAAAAGAAAACCCCAGAACCACCACTAGTCATTTCTATAAAACATTTAAAGAAAAATAACATCAGTCTTTCTCAAACCAGAAAAAAGAAGGTACATTTCCTAACTCATTCTATGAGGTTAGCATTACCCTGATTCCAAAGCCAGACAAAGACACTACAAGAAAAGAAAACTAAAGATCAGTATGTCTTGTGAATACTGATGTAAAAGGCCAGCCCGTGGCTCACTCGGTAGAGTGTGGTGCTGATAACACCAAGGCCACGGGTTCGGATCCTATATAGGGATGGCCGGTTTGCTCACTGGCTGAGCGTGGTGCTGACAACACCGAACCAAGGGTTGAGATCCCCTTACCGGTCATCTTTAAAAAAAAATTTTTTTTTTAAATAAATAAAATAAATAAATAAATAAATAAAAGTGAACAATTCAGAAGTATTTAAAAAATTCTTAATGTATAGCCTCCACCTCCATCTAGTTCCAAAATATTTTCATCACCCCAGAAGGAAACACCATACCCATTAGGTAGTTACTCCCTACTCCCCCTTCCCCCAGCACCTGGCAACCACCAATCTGCTTTCTGTCTTTATGGATTTACCTATTCTGGATACTTCATATAAATGTGGTGCCAAAATATGATCACAAAAACACGAAATCTATATAGTCATTGGCTCCATCAAGAATCCAGCAGCTTATTAAGGGGACTATACAGCATGATCAAGTGAGATTTATCACAGGAATGCAAGGATGGTTCAGCATATGAAAATAAATCAGTGTTTTAGCCCATGAAGCATAATGTCTGACTACAAGAAAAGGATGTGGCCCTGGGACGGCAGAAGCTGTGCTTTTCTTCCCCCATCCACAAGAGCACAGCCTATCAAGTGGGTAAAAGACAAGGAGAAGTGCAGCTCACCCGACCCTTTCTCCTGGGCTGACACAGCCCCTCACGTCACTCTTCTCCTCCCATTTCTCTCAGTCCTCCCTCAAATCCCCTTCCTTCCTAAGACAAATCACACCACACCATAGTAGTACAGTGAAGAAAAACCCCACATGATTATCTCACTTGATACAGAAAATTTATTTAACAAAATCCAATACCCTTCCATGATAAAAACATTCCTCCAAATAGGAATAGAAGGGAACTTCTTCAATATGATAAAGGCCACATATGAAAAACCCACAACTAAAATTATACATACAGTGGTGAAAGGCCCGAAGCTTTCCCCATAAGATCAGGAACAAGACAGAATGCCTGCTGTTGCCACTTCTATTCAATACAGTACTGGAAGTTTTAGCCAGAGGAATTAGGCCAGAAAATTAAATAAAAGGCATCCAAATTGAAAAGAAAGAAGTAAAATCATCTTTATTTGCATATGACATAATCCCCTATATAGAAACTCCTAAAGAATCTACACCAAAATAATAATAATAATAATAATAATCCTGGTAAAGCTAATAAATAAATTCAGAAATTATAGGATGCAAAATCAACAGACAAAAAACAGTTGTATTTCTATACACTAGCAATGAATAATCTGAAAATGAAATCAAGAAAGCAATTACAATTATAAGAGCATCAAAAAATATATATTTAGAAATAAACTTAACCTATGAGATATAAGACTTGTACACTGCTGAAAGAAATTTTAAAAATCACAAATAAATGGAAATACATTTCATGTTCATGGACTGGAAGACTTAATAGTGTTTAGGTAGCAATACTACCTAAAACAATCTGCAGATTCAATGCAATCCCTAACAAAATCCCAAAATCTATGTTCACAGAA